ACCACACTTGATTTCTCGGCCTTTTGGCTAAGATCAAGTGTAGTATCTGTTCTGATCAGTTTTTTTACCATGAAGTATTGTACTCAGAGGAAAAGGGGAAAAAAAAAAAAAAAAAAGGAAAAAAAAAAGGCGTTCTACTGTGAGATGTCACGGCCGCTGACGGGCGCTCCCTACCTAATGACTACCCTCGTCCGTCTCTTACATTTGGTCCCACTAGCGCTCCGGTTGGACTCGTACCGGTGTGGGCGCCGTGCGTGATAGCAGACATCAGGGAAGTGTCACACAGGGAGTTCTTTACTTAATTGTGGACGCAATTGCGGTCAGAATCATCCGGGGAGGGCCGTAAATGCGGCCAGATACATTTAAGATAGGGTTGTAGTCTGAGTACGCCCTCAGTGGAAAGAGGGCTGCCATCGGATTTCGCTAAGGGCATACCCACACAAGCAGTTTCCTATCTGACTGCAATTACGGCCAAACGGGGATGAATCTGATTGTAATCAAGTCCAGGGGTTGGTAGAAAAAGTTATGGTGTGAGTATGCCCTAAATCCAGGGCCAAAAGGTCGTTTGTAGCTCAGTTGGTTAGAGCTCTGGCGTAGCAATCGAGAGGCCGAGAGGTTGTGGGCTCCATTCTGCACATACATGGACATTGGACTAGACACGGGATAGCAGGGAATTGGCAGGGGTAGCACTACCCGGTGGGGGGTAAGGGCTCCAGTGGGGGAGCATCTCTCTCTGAAGGCATCATCATGGAGGGCGGTGGACATCCTTGTAGGGAGAGGGTGCGGACTAGGGGTGCGTTCTACATTGCACTGCGAGTGGCAGCGTAAGGTTGTGGGGTGGTCCGGTGTCGAGCGCATCGGTCCCGCGCAGTGTGGGACCCTCCCGGCCGCGGCATGCAGGAGTTGGTCGACCTCGTCGCGATACACATGGAGCTCCCGCAAGCCGCTCCGCCGAGTGCGCCCGCCATACCTCTCGCGAGCCCCTACGATAGGATAGGATCAACTCGAGGTACAACTTTACCTCCACCTGCGGGAGTTGTCACCTCCCTTCGGTGGGCGTATCCTCGTCGAGCCATCAGTTCGCAGCACGAAAGCTAATCAGTTGCAATCGCAGAGGTGGACCAGTCGAGGGCGTTTCTTGTTCGTTGTAGCATAGGGGGTACGCGCGATCTTACGCCGTTATCGAACCCGCCCGCGAACTGACGCACTGGGGGGCTGAAGTCCCAAGCCCAATTCGTCGTCGGTCGATTAAGACGCATTCTACATACAACGCGTTACACCACCACACTCACACACACGGAACGACACAAAATAAACAATGCAACACTCCTAGTCCTTTTTGTAGCCATCCTATAACCTTCTTACGAGGAAACCGGATAAGCGACGTGCGCGAGACTTAGTATAAAATCGCACAGACGTAGAATCTTCCCATACCGACTAGCAATGCATGAATACGCAAGCAGTCGCAATGATGGCGTACTATGTAGTGTCCATAATCAAGCGATCCCTCGTGGATTCGAGCACCGCTTATGACACTCGAGTGTCAATCTCGAAGTATCGTGAGAATCGAGCCCTTCACGATATTGCACGGCTGAAGGAATAGTCGTTCGACCCCAACGACACGTTCGGTCCTTAGGCTGAGTGTCCCGGTGGGCAGGGCAAATAGGGTCTGCGCAGGGGGTGATCCCTTCCGCGCGGAGTCTAAGACCCGGGATGTCCTAGACAAGGACCTCGAATCCAGGCCCAAAACCAACGTCCGACCAATAATTTGTAAGAAGCAAAACGGTAAAGGAAGGGAATCTCCTTTCCTTTCTCAACCTCAACCTCAATTAAACTCTTAAACGTGGATTTTTTACGTCACGCAAACACTCAAACATTGATATGTACGCATATATAGAGAGGGGAATAAACATGTGACGATCACTTCTCACAATCACAGTGGGACTCCTCTTAGCCATATATATGTATGTGATCGCAGACAGTCAATTCCAAAGTTTGAACCACAAAACACGCTTGCAATCACATCAAAGAATCAACCAAAAGTTCATATACTACATGAGTCAACTTCAACCATTCTCTATACCCATACCCCTTGCTTTAGC